CAAACGCTGATTCCGCCTCTCCATTCTTGGATAATTGTTTACCAGCGAGCCATTTTGTAGCTTATAAGCCCTGTGTATTAGGTTTTTGCAAAGTACATATGTAAAAGGGAGAAGAAAGCATCTCCTATGGTGTATATATTTATATCTATATTTTCATAATCTGCACGATGAGAGAAATCGATTTAGACATGTCTGTCTATCTGTCTGGATGAACGCCTTGATGTCGAAGACGGTTGAACCCACAATCACCAAACTGTGTATTTAGACTCTAAAAATAATTCCTTCTCAATTTTTTTAAAAATTAATTTCTTAATCTTTTAATCCCTGCACAATTATCTACTTTTATTTTAAGTTTCATCCAAATCTATTTATTCTAAGAAAAATTAAACATAAACTGTTCTTCTTCTTCTTTTAGGGCGTACGTTTTTTTGGTTGCAGGATATTTCATTGTCGCGCTTGCTCGACTGAAGCCATTCTCTCTTGTTTTGTTGTTAGCGCATTTGTTGTTAGCTTGTTGCCACATTTCCATTTCGTTTCATTTTATTCAGTCGATGCAATGCATGCCACAAACAAACAGCAGCAACAACAACAACGACAACAACAACAACAACTCCACCTACGACAAGTCGAACAACAACAAGAACAACAACTAGCAGAATGACAACATTTAGTGGCTCATCCATTTTCATTTGTATTAAGCAAAAGGCAAAAGTGCCTGAAAACTGCAAGCAGAGTGAAGTGAAGTTGACAGCAACCCCTGGCCCCTTGTCCCTTGCTCCTTGCTCCTTGCCCCTATCCCCACCCCCACCCCCACCAACAACTAGATAGAGCCCTGCACTATCCTATTTTCATTCTAGTCATCTATAGCTATAGATAGATGCTGCTTGAGATAAAGCGAAAGCATTACTCAGCTGAGTTTTGTCGCAGTCATTCAAGTCAGATGGCAGCCCCCCCCCTTCCATCACTCCCCCCTTGACTAAAAAGCGCAGCAAGCCACAGTCGACCTTCCACCCACTCCACCCCCTCCACCCACTCATTCCGCAACTCCACGAACCGTGCTCGTTAGCGCAGCTGTCGTGAATTTATCTTACTACTCTCCTTTATTTTATTTTATTCTCTATTTTTCCCGCATTTTTATTTCATTTTATTTGGTGTTTTGTTTTGTTTTTTCTTTTTTTTTTTTTGTTTGCATTTTTGCCGCATCTTGGACATATTGTTAGCCGCTTGATCGATGCAAATTGATGCGTATTGTTAATGGAATTGAATGCAATATGAGGAGGGAGGGGGCCGGCAGGACGAAGAAATGCAAGTAAGCGAGAAGAGCACGTAGAAGTGAAGAGCACTTGCTGATTAAATAGCTTGGACTCAGCTGGACACAAATAATTGATTGCATCGCTTAAGATATTCAACACAAATATCCAATATTATGCGAGTATTTCTCAGTAAAGTAAAGATTTTGAAGACAGTGTCTTAGGAAAAACAAAACCATAAAATCCTGCAGCACAAACAAAAAAGGATCTAACATCCCTTTCGAAAAAAATAATATTTTAAAAAACATTAAATTAATTAACTTATTTTAATTGAATAAAAACATTCAATACTGTATATTCATACATAAGTGGACAACTGCTTTTATGTTAATTATTATAATTAACTTTTATTATTTATTGCATTTTATTTACTTGGCAAAAACCGAACCGAATTATTTATGCTAAAAGCGAAATAAGTAAATATTTTGCTTATCAATTTGTAAGAGAAATCTTACACTCTTTCTCTCTCTTGCCGATTGATCTAACTGCACTCTCATGGTCCTTTGCTCACCCACACCCCAACTTGTTCGTACATCTTCATACAACTGACTCCAAACGCGAATGTTAGTTAGAAATCTGTTATACAAAATTGAGTTTTCTTTTTTTTCTTATTTTGTGTCTCTGTTATGTTATGGCGGCAAATTTTCTGCTAATATCAACGCCAACGTTGGGAGACTTATGCATATATGTAGATACACACATGAAATGTTACGTTTACATTTACATACGTACATAAATATGTTACGCAGTAAAATAGTAATTTGCAAAGTGAAAATTATTTATTATAGAGCAACCAATTATGAATCAGTACTTACATTTACATGCATTTCCAAATTGTACAACTTTAATTAATTAAATCACAATTATTACCACTTAAAAAACAAAACAAAAATTGAGGCTTTGCGTAACACACACACACATACATACACAAATATGTATGCAGGGCGTAACTTTCGCGGCATTTTCGCATTAAAAAACACATATTATGTGCACTTTGCACACAACTCAATATGTAAATACATACATATAGCATGTTTTACATATTTATTATACATTTTCCAAGAGTTCCCGCCAACTCTAACAACCGACGGCGCGACGCGTCCAACAGGTCAAGCAAAACTAACCCTTGCATTGCCGCTCTCCTTAAGAATGCAAAAGTAAAAGCAAAGATCAAAAATCATAACTGTAAATCCGCTCTCGCGCCTGCCACACGTGTGAGGCTTAGCAAGCTACAGCTGAAGCCAACAGCTGTTAGCTAACAGAGCCCTGCTCGCGTTAACAGCCTCTCTCACTATGTTAGCTAGTTCTATGGTAATAACATTGAAATGTACAATTAGTGTAAGCCAGACCAAGGATAGAAGGATTATATTCATGAATAGCTAATATTTCCTTCTTCAATATTTATTAGATCTTCGTCTAGTAGCTTTATGTAATATTTGGCGTTTATTCTGTGTCTCAAAAAACATTGATAATTATACAGCGAAGCCAAATTCTGCCCATACCCTCAACATTTCGTAGCATTTCTGGTTTTGGAAGCATCTTGACATTGTAACTAAGAAATAGCATATATTGGATAGTTCAGTTGAAACCCGTTCTCTATGACTTTTCAGATCATCTATATTATTTGGATAACTTGCAATTAATTGATTTCTCTACCGCAACCAAATTAAAGAACAGAATGAAAGTAGTTTAAGAAATAACTAGCAATGGTTTAACTAAGTATTAAAATACTTAGTATGTTAGTACAACTTATCTATCTATCTATATGTGTGTGTTTGTGTAAATCAACAAAAATGCCCATAAGAGAGAAATGTCATAAATAAAAGTGCTGCAATTTGTTTATATTAAGAAAAGAGCGAGCCAACTCGTCGTAAAGGTCGTGTTGCTCAAGCGCAGCATGCCACAGATTTGCATTGCACTTCCCATTGCAGGGGTGCCCCCTCCGCCCCTCTCCCTTCTTCCGCCTACTTAACCACTTTTCTTCCACAACCCTGACTCTGTGCCATGGCCTGCTGTTTTGTAAAATATGCGCCTTCCGTTGCATGCGGCGCCCAAACCGTAGCCGAGACCTCCAGCCATTCAAAAGCTGTGGCAGTGGCATAGGCATACATTTCTTTATAGAGAGGGGCGCAACTAAAAGCTTAAACTATTGATTAGCAATCTCAAATGTAAAATCATTTAATCCATTTTTTTCTAGCTATTTAAATATATGTATAAGCAAAGTTATTTCCATTGAGCGATTCAAAAAAGTTAATAGAAAAAGTTTAAGTGATATTTGCTTACCAGCTGGATCAATTAATTATATTATTAAATGCCTCATTTTATCGCTCGCAGGCTACGCCTCTGACGGACTGTAAACATAGTTATATTCAGTGCCAAGCCAAGTCGGAGTATGCAGCCAAATAATAGCATGATGCGCTTGGCTGCATATTTTTGAAGTCAGCAGGCAGCACCAGTTAGTCCTGTGTATTATTTTTCAGTCGTCTGGTTGCCCCCTCCCTCAGCCCCTTCCCCCCGTGCTTTCCTGTGCCCCGCTCAGGCACCACCCGCAACTAACTGCGTTCGTTTTTGTAATAAAAATGTCATAAATCTTGATTTCTTCGACTAAACTAGAGTGCGCCAGGACTATGGGAAAGAACAAACAGTTGGATGTGTGCGCGTGTGTGTGTGTGTGTGTGTGTGTGTGCCAGGCAATATAACTGTCTATTTATTCTGTAGCATGAAGTACATTTTATTTGCTTTTATTTATTTGCACTCGCATGCAATTGTGCTTGCGTCTTCTGAATGTAATTGATTTATGCGGCAACAAAAGGCGCCAAAGCACGAAAGGGTGTCCTGAAATTGCAGCACACGGGTTTAGAAAACTTCAAAAATCCACAAACAAAAAACATTATTTATATGCAGAAAATTTAGTAAACTTTTTGTCAAATGCACTCCACTAATAAACTATTGTTTTCTTTTTAAAAAAATAATTGAATCATTTGAGTTCTAAAATAGTAAGAACAAGAAATTACAAATTAAGGAACAAAACGAATATGACATTTACTTGAAACAAATACTAATCCATTTAACAAATACAAATTATTTTGAAGGCAGCTATTTCCAAGCTTTACCAATTTTTTTCAAAGCTCAGTATTTCTTAAACTCAGCTTAAGTCACAAAGAGACAAAGCTTTCGCAAAGCAGGAGTTAAATTAGCGCCCTCTATCAAATACAAATGTAAGTTTGTAGCACTGACTATCACAGTGCACCCTGAACTTCAAAGAACTCCAAACGAGAAAACTAATGGTTGATTTAAAAGAGATCTAGTATATAAATACTAAAAGCAATTTTTTAGTGAACAACTTACAATAATTAATAAAAATTATTATACATTTAGAAAAAAAACTAAGCTCTATCTATTGCCAACAAAAAAAAACAGCTAGTATTGTTTTTTCTTTTTTTTTCAACTTTTTAAAAACGTACCTATTTCCTTCACATACATTCTTCCTTCTTTCCATATCTTCGGCTCCCTAACAATCGCAATAATTAGACCCATAATTTAAAGAAAAGGCCTAACTTTTGTCTATTAATGAAATTAATCAGAAGAAAGAATGAATTGTAAGGGACAATTGGATCTGTTCTTTTCAATAGATTCTATAGTTTTTAGATTAGAATTTCTTTTATTCCCTCCCAATAAAAGACACTGATCTGTTTCTTAGTCGCATTTCTTGCTATCGTTATATTAAAATATCGTATCGTTTACTCTATGCTTACAGTAGTTCACACGCATTTTACAATTTATCGTTTTCGTTGACTTACATTTTAAATACACTGGCATGGAATTCATTATAATAAGTACATACTTAGTAGAATACACTCATATATAGACTAATAAATGTATCAACAATTTATTATAGATTGACAAATAGTGGCTTGTCTAATTTATTTAAGACTAAAACGCGTCCTGTGTGTTGTTTTTGTTTTCTTCGTTTCTATGTGCTTTTTGGGGGCAGGCCTCTTATCACAAATGATCATCACTGAATAAAATGTTTTCCATCGCTAATCCTTTTTCAATCGTATTAATTCCTTGACTCTTTTTGGCTGCCTGGCCCAAAGTTACAAACAAAGTTGCATTCACTTATATATTTAAAATAATTTAATTAATATTATTCATAAATTTAGCAAAAAGCTTGCAATTTTGTCGATCAATCATCAAATTTTTATATAATTATTATTTATTTGTCTTTGTTCTTTTTTTGTTTTGTTGGTTGCTTGCTTTTAAATTAAAAAAAATTATCACAAATTGTTTGCAGCGTTTTGTCATAAAAGGTTAAATTTCTTTTTGTTTATGTTGTAGTTGTAGTTGTTATTGTCAAGAATTTGTTAAGCGCTATATAAAATATTATGGTTTGTCCAATGGCTATCACCAGTGATCCATGTCGCGTATGCGCTCAACGGGAGGATTGCTGTAAAATAATTAATATGGCAGATTAGATAGAGTGCTGGGAAATAATTAATTATTAAATGGAGAATTACGAGAGCAGTATATTTTCCATTTGCCGAACAGAAAAAAAGGATCAAAAGTGTAATTCAAGAGTGAAAAAGAGATTTATATTTGGTGTAGTTGCTAATTTAAATATTAAAAGTATTTGCTTAGCTTGGAAATTAAAGCATCACCAACAATAATAAATTATGACTTGGGTGACCAAATAAGTAAATCGACTGTATTAGAGGACTGTTTCTATGGAGTTTTGGCTTAGTACTTCTCTAGTGGCATCTTACATTACATAAGACTAAATAGGGCTTCGAAGATTAAAATTACAAATTATTTGGAACACTATAGTTGACCCGGAATGGAAGCTCAAGCTGTTGGAGATTTACGTGAGAATAGTTTTCGGAATGAAGCTTTCCTTAATAACGCCTGAGCTATAGACGACCAAGTTTTATGTTACAAAGCAGCCCCGTATTAAAAAATAATTTACTTTAAATATGATTTCATGTCTCACAAAGCATTTCCATGCCTTTGCAGCTACAAATCGAACTCTGGAATTTTTCTGTTTCCTAGCAATATCCTTCGCCTGTCCCTTTTACATATTCTAGAACATATTAGAATTAAAGGAGAAAAAAAAGAAAACCACTGCTGCTTTAATAAGTAGTAGAAATATTAGAAATAACCGTTTTAGGTGGATTTACATTTGAGATATAAAGAATTTATTGTTCTGGAAACTTTTCACTCCACCCTCGCATTTGACTTACGGTAGCATACGCGCCAGCGCGTGTTTGTGTAACGGTGATATTTGCACGGCCGCCGAGGCTATGCTCGAGCCCGAGTCCTGCGACAACGTACGCTGCATGTGATGCATATGATGTGATGGCAACACTGGCCCGCCCACAAACTGCAGCTGCTGTTGTTGTTGTTGCTGGTGCTGGTGCTGATGCTGATGCTGGTGCGGCTGTAAATGTGGCAGCTGCTGTGCCCGCCGGAAGGGATAGCGCCACGGACTCTTCGGCACATCCGCCTGAAAGGCCTTGTTCTCCACACCGCTGCTGGACACACCCGCAGGGCTGCCGCGTCGCGGCGCCACCCCCGCCGTCGTCGTCGCCATCGCCATCGATGTCTGCTGCATATCGCGCGCCTTCGAGCTGAGGCGACGCAGGATGCGGGAACCCAGGCCCGGCTCCTCGAGGCCGCGACTATTGCGTGGCTTGCGATAGCGCACATCACTGGACTCCTCCAGGATGACGTGCCGATCGTAGGGAGTGCCATAATACACCTCCAGCACCGTGGAGAAGGTATGTGGCCAGACCAGATCAATGATCGAAATCAGCACGCCCGCAATAAAGCAGAGAATGCCTGTCGAAAAAAAATTAGTTAAAAAAAAATAAATGAAAATAATAATAATAAATACAAAGAATAAATAAAATAATAAATTAATAAAAAATCCAAAGCCTATCAAATTTTTTAAATAAAAATTTAATAAAAATTAATTTTAAAAAATGAAAAAAATAAATAAAAATCATAAGAATAAATATAAATAAAAAATGAAAAAATAAATAAAAATAATAAGAATAAATACAAAGAATAAATAAATTAATAAAAAATCCAAATCAAATTATCAAATTTCTTTAATAAAAATTTAATAAAAATTAATTTTAAAAAATGAAAAAAATAAATAAAAATCATAAGAATAAATACAAATAAAAAATGAAAAAATAAATAAAAATAATAAGAATAAATATAAATAAAAAATGAAAAAATAAATAAAAATAATAAGAATAAATACAAAGAATAAATAAAATAATAAATTAATAAAATATCCAAATCAAATTATCAAATTTCTTTAATAAAAATTTAATAAAAATTAATTTTAAAAAATGAAAAAAATAAATAAAAATCATAAGAATAAATACAAATAAAAAATGAAAAAATAAATAAAAATAATAAGAATAAATACACAGAATAAATAAAATAATAAATTAATAAAAAATCCAAAGCCTATCAAATTTCTTTAATAAAAATTTAATAAAAATTAATTTTAAAAAATGAAAAAATAAATAAAAATAATAAGAATAAATACAAATAAAAAATGAAAAAATAAATAAAAATAATAAGAATAAATACAAATAATAAATAAATAAAAAATAAATAAATAAAAAATCCAAAGTCTATCAAATTTCTTTAATAAAAATGTATTAAAAACAAATTTTTAAAAAACGAAAAAATAATAAGAATAAATACAAATATTAAATAGAATAAAATAATAAATAAAAAATCCAAAGCCTATCAAATTTCTTTAATAGGGGGGGTTAATTAAACTAAATAGATATCTTTAGAAGACAGTAGTGTTTGTAGAAATCATAAACTAAATAGATATGTTTGGGAGGAACTAGTTTGAAAAGAAAAATCATAAACTAAATAGATATGTTTAGGAGGAAACAATAGAGATGGTTTGAAAAAAACACAACCTAAGTAAATAGATATGCCTAGAAGAAAACCCTTCATACTAATTACTTTACAGACAAACCAAAAGAATGATGGACGGACATACATATGTAACTATATCAAGGAGTGTTATGATAGCAACCTCCTCTCCTACTTAAAGCAATATATTTTCTCTATATATAGTATAAATAATAGTATCGACTCACCTGCCACCAGCAACAGCCAATAGCACCAACCAAAATGAAACTCCAGCCTACCGCCCTCCAAATGAATGGACAATGGCCGCTGTGGCAACAAACAATGATAGCCAATATTCGTGATGACCAGCAGGGCGCCAGTTAGGGCCTTCATATAGGCGCCATAACGTGGCACGGCGATTAGCAGCAGATTCATCAGCAGCCAGGAGGCCAACGAGGCCCACAGCATGATGCTGGCGAAATAGCCGGCGGCGCGATATTGTCCGCCCCACGAGAATCCCTCGCGGCCCAAGCTGAAATATTCGGCAACTGTTAGAATGGGAAAGGGGAGACCCCGTTGTAGCGCATGGCGATAATTGGCGCTCATATCGCTGGCCCCCTCCCATGTGAAGCGCTCGTTGTAATCAATGTCCGGTGGCGTCCAATTACCAATCGAAATGGCTGAAAACAAAGTCAAAACAATTGATGTTTCCAGTTAGCTTCAAACTGCTGCAGTTGTTAATCACATTCTAAATACAAATGAAATAAAACAGTCTTTTTTTTTTTTGTTTACCCAGCAATCAATTGAAAAACTTTTAAATTGTTTAACTAACTCGTTGAAACTTTGTCCATCGTAACGGGAATAAAAAAGCCTTTTCATGATTTTAGTTACTAATATTGCCTGATGATATATTCCGTTTAATATTTTCTTTTTCTATACAAGTAGAAATTTAAAACTCTAGTCTAAGTCCCTAAGTAGTGCCATTGGTTTCTAGTTGATTGTCTTACTCTGTATTTATTTATTTTGCTTAAACAGTAACAAATATAGCTTAATATAAAAAGTCAGGGCTTAGAACAAGCTGAGACATGAATATATTGCAATTGTATCTATAGCTTTTCAGATTACTTTTTTTTATTTATTTTCAAGTGCTAACAACTTTCTTCTTCCATGCCGGTATGTTTTCCTTTTTAGTTCCTGCTAGTTTTTATTTGAAAATCTTCTTAAGTCTCTACGGAATTCTCTATTTTGATTAAATTAAAATATTACTTTAATGATTAAAGTGGCTTTTTATTCAGCAGAGAACAGCTTGCTAAAAAAAAATGTCTCAAGGCTAAAACTTCATTTCTTTGGCCAATATCTTGAACAATCTTTTTTTTAATAAAATCTCTTTCTTTAGCATCAGAGGTATGTGGAACTTTTAAGATTAATTTCAATTATTTATTTCACAAAGAATTGTCAATTTGAAGACATGGACAAATATTAATTCAAAATATTCATATAGAAAAAGAAAATCCATGAAAAACATTACAATTATTCTTTAAAAAAAAGTCGGGATTTTAGAGTGCAACTATTGAAATATTAGAAATTTAGATTAAAATGTATGAAATATTTTATTCTGGCCTTAAGAAATTAACTACAGCTTAATTAAAGAGATGGCTAAATTGATTTTAATTCTTACAAAGAAACCGAAACGAATTGTGAAACGAAAGCTTAGTTAGTGCTTCAGCGATTTACACTGAATGGTGAAAAAAAGAGTTTATTTGATGAAAACAAAACTTTAAATTACAGTTAGACTATTGCCGTTCAATTGAAACTGCTCGATCATGGAAACACTTGAGCGACTCACAAGTGTCGAATGCTGACCTAGAATATTCGCAATGCTCTGCCAATTCACTTGCTATGCGAGCATGTAGTATGAGCAACATATTTGTTAGTTTCGCTGAAGTGGCTTAAAGAGCCTTCGAACACTTCCTGTTGCACAGCCGGAAACTGCATTCACTGCAGTAGTCGTTACACGCTGCGTATGCGTAATGTTGCCCATGTATTGCGTCGCTTGTGGCACCAACGCAATTTGTAATTCATTGTCAATGGCGGCAACGGCGGCAACGGCGGCAACGGCGGCGGCACGGCGCTAACCTTACACACCAGCATTTTGAGTGACTGCGACTGCAACTGCAATGAACCGAACGCCAAAGTGCCACTTAAAATGCAACAACAACAACAACAACAGCAGCAACGACAGCAATAAGAGCCAGCAGCATAAGCGGCAGCAAGCAACTGCCTACAACAAGTCAACAAAATCGATTGCAATGTGCGCAACATTTTTGTTTGCATATTTTGTTAACATTATTCATCAACATTTTCCGGTTTTAAAGCGCTGCAAGGCGCCTGCGCAAACGCACAGCAAACATGCGCACAGAAAAAGAAAAGAAAAATCATTTTTAAAAGCAAAGACCAGGTGGGCTGAGGTGTTGGCAGCGCAGGCGCAACACGCGCCTCAAAGCCCCTCCAGCCGCCGCCCGCTCAATGCTCAATGCCTAACGTTTTCAAAAAGTATTTGCCAAACAAGTTCAAGCGACGGCAACTAAAAGCAAAAATTTGCATAATTTATGGTGAGCGCGTTGAGTAGAGCAACCGAATGACTCCCCTCCTCCCCGACCCCCCGTCGAGACGTGCGTGCATGTGTGTGGCTGGAAATGCCGAACACAGCTCGGCAACTAATTCCGCATTTTAGCATATAGTACTATATGCAGATATAGCCGACATGCACAATGAGGAGATTTATGGTATTTATTGCATATACCCTACATGCGAATCGATTCAAGCACCTTGTCTCAAAAGGTTTATTGATTTTATTATTATCACGATTTATAATTCCAAAGGCTGTTGCAACAATTCGCATTTAGCAGAGAAGAAATAACAATAATAATTGTTTAAATATTATTTATTTCACTGATAATGGAAGTACTGGAAAAGCTTACTGTAAAGCTAAATTTCTCCCTTGAAGAAATGTGCACAAATATTCTTTGAAAGTGAGAAACATTAACCGTTGGTTACTATTTTCCAAAGCATTTCTTTTTTTGTTTATTTATTTACTTTATCGACACACAAAGCTGTCGATGGAAAAGAAAAAAATCAAAACAATAGCGAACTTATTAAATAAAACTCAAATATCTAATTATTTCAAATGAAACTGTGCTTATATTTTCAAAATTCCACTTTTAAAATCTTTCTGCAAAAATGTCCAAATCCCAAAAATGGAGAGGTAATTTTGTAGCTTTTTTGGGAATATTTGTTTTAAAATCTTCATCATTCTAAACAAATTAACATTAGCGCTTTATTTTTGAAGCGTTCCTAAATGAATTTTGTGAATAAATGTAAACGTTCTGTTGCTTCTTGATTTTCCATTAAATTTAAAGCAAAGCATTGGCAATTAACTTAGAAAATTAAATAAAGCTTAGCTTAGCAATCAAATAAAATTAAATTTGTTCAAAGCATTTTCGAAATTACTTCAAAAATAAATAAAATGGAAATCAAAGCACAAATAAAATAAAACTTGGCTACTTAGCGAACAATTAGAAACAAATTTGTTTTGACATATCAGGTTTATTTTACGAAAAGTTTCGAAATGAATTCATAAATTTATTTATTTATTTTAACATTTGTAACTTAGAATTAATCCTAAATCACAAAATTTGATACATATAAAAAGTATGAATTCATAAATAAATGTTAATGTCTTAGGGAATAAATTTGTTTCCTGATTTTCCATTAAATTTAAATCAACAATTTTGCGCTTAACTTAACAAATAAAATAAAACAACTACAAATTAGAGTGCATATCCAATCCTATAAAACCGAAAATAATTTTGCTTTTTCTTTACGTTTAAAAAAATTGATATATTTGGAGAGGGTATTTTTTAAGTCTATTTTAAGCCTATTTTAAGTCTATTTTAAGTCTATTTGAAGTCTATTTTAAGTCTATTTTAAGTCTATCTGTCAACCGATAACTTCTTAAGACCCAAAAAAACAAACATTCCAATATTAAGTAAGAAACTGAAGTTCATTTCATAATCACAAAAATTCTTTAACTCAAGTCCTTTAATAAAAAATATTATACAAAATCGTAGTAACAATAAAATGTTTATATTGCTTATCACTCCACAGACCCGTGTAGGGTATTCCGTACATAGGCAGTACTTCTTAATATCTTAATATAGCCAACAGTTTCTATCTTTCGTGGTGAGGTGACTCAGTCATGTGACCGCAATTCATGTTTTGTGGTCAAAGATTTTTGGTTTTATTTTTATATTTTTTTCGCCTCTATAGGTGTGACTAATCAGCCGGAGAGCTGTTGGCTGGTGAAAAGCCCTGCAAACAATACTCCTATCGCATTGTTGTGCCCACGTCTTCTGGCAAAGATTCTGCAGCGATTCCCTTTCCAAAAATTCAAGAAATCGAACCCGCATGGCTTTCGATTCTGAAAGCATTTGTTGTTGCTTTTCAACGCAAGCGATTTGTCTTATTGGCTTTTGTTGTTTTTGTTTTCTGCTATTCAAAAAAAGGGACTGCGATATTATCAAAGGCGGCGCTCACAACAAGCTTGTTGTTGTTGCTGCTTTTTTTTTTGTTAACTCGTGAAGGTGCTGCCAAAGTGTCTGGCACGAAGTCGCTAAAAATATGCAAAATTAAACTGAGAGGCAAATGTAAAAAAAAAAAAAACAGAAACAACAAATCGTTTTAATATTTTCAAAGACAAAAGGCAAATTCGTAATCAAAGCTTTAAGGTTGAAGTAGAAACTGACAAGCGCGAGCAAATAGATTTTGTTATTAATTTAAACTTATGAAATGTTCCCCATATACGTATATATACTCGTATACTCGTGTGTATAATAGAAATTCCCACGCCTATTGCTTGTTCATGGCATGACGTATACGCTACGTAAGCCGCTTGGGCGGCGCAAATTTCAACAAAAAAAAATGAAATAAAAATAAAACGCTAATAACAAGAAGTTGATAGACAAAGACGCTTACAGCCATCGCAGTTGGCTAATTTGTTTTGGGAAACTTTTGCCAAATTACAGCAAAAGAAAAAAAAATGAAACAATATTTTAACAATTTGCTGTTGGACATTGGCCATTGGCCTTCAGTGAGCAGCAAGGTTGCACGCATAGGTGTAGACAAAAACCACAACCCTGCACCAAAACTGGCGACAAAAATGCGCACGCGCCACCTCTGTCTGACAACCACCCCCCCCCCCTTCCCCCCTCCACCACGCCTTTTGCTGCGCTGCCTATCAGGCAACATGATCGAAAAAGTCATTAAACTGGCGCTCGATATGATTTCCCAGCTGGCTAAAATGTTGTTGTCTGCACGCTTTGATTGAAAAACGCGCACACGTCTGCCTCGTCAAATGTTTGGGCCACTGTTTGGATCTACTTATTCGAGTACGATTCGTATATATGTATGTATATAATCGACCAGCACGAAAGCACGACTGCAAGTTCAACTGGTTTATGGCTATAGCCGGAGTATAGTATATACATATGTGCGATCTCGATTGGTTCGATGAGAGCGTTTTGATTAGGCCTTAACTATCTTAATGTGAATGCTTTGGGGAATTTAGCTGTTGAACAAATATTGAGTTAACATGAATGTGGGAATTGTTTGGCCAAACCGC